TAAGCTACGAATTGGAACAATCATTCCTCCTTTGCAAAGTATTGATATTTTTTCTTGGCTGCTTTCAGGCCTTTTCACTACTCAAGGAGAGATTTATGTTTGACAATTTCTTTCTGATTAAAATGAATCATAACTCTAGAATTCTAATTTCCTCATTTCTAAGCAAGAAATTATCAGTTTTAAATTGATATTGAATGTCATCGTGCATGAACAACATTCGTTTTCAAGATATCAAATGTAAAGCTATACTGATCTCTCTTTTTATCTGCTTCTTTTATGTACTTTCTCTTCCTTTCTCTCTATATATACATGTATTTAAGTAAAACATTCTAGATTGTACCCATATAATCAACTCTACCTCTCTACAAAATCTATATTTGACAGACTAGCTAGAGTAGTCCCATTAAAACTTGTCACAACGCTTTACATAAGGCAATTACCCTCTATCTGCAATATTAGCAAAATCCTGTTGTAGTTTAGAAAGAGAATAACTGGAATACCGCAGGTTACGAACAAATGCAAGTTATCTAAAGTAATTAGCAAGTTCATATGGGTAATCTCTACTAAATGGCTCAAACACTATAAACCAGCTCTTCAGACATAAACTGTTAAAAGCAAAGTTTGCTAGATTTGTCCCCAACAGTCAATTAAGATCAGTTTGAATTTGTTTTTTAAACATAATGGCAACTAATCTGAAAAAAATCTTATTTTCTACTATTATTCCTTCTGTTCTCTTTAAATCTTAACAATTGGATTTTTTTCAAGCCATTTAGCTGTCCCATTTTCTCTTTATAAACTTGATTTTCAGCTTTCACTAAAAGCAGATTGAAACCGGGGGTTTTGCCTAACAACTTATTTAAAAGTACAACAGGGCCAACAAAGGGCTGCCTTTCTGCAGACACTCAGTTTATGACATTCCAGACAAGGATCTCACAAATGGACTCACTAAGGGAACAAACTGGATGGTTTTCCTCAGTATTGTAACATATGCTGTACTTTATCTTTAAATCCTGCATTACAGTGGGTTTGATTTGGTGGGTTTTTTTGTTGCTTTATTGTAGTTTGGCAGTGGTGGTGGTTGAAGTTGGTATTTTTAAGAAATATATAGGAAAAAAAAAGTAAATTTCATGCTTTAGTTAATACAGACTGTCATTAAGATAATTCTATCAAAACCTGAAATAATAAAGTTCTTTCTCTATCCGTTTTTAATTATTTTGTCTCATTGTAAAATAAACAGAACTCTCTTTTGCATCAGACAACAAAAAGCAAGAAAAACGAAATACTCTTCGTCTGACCTTTAAAACTTGAGCACTAAAGTACACTGTCCCACAGAAAAGCCACCATAGGATACATGTTGCTTTTGGTAATATACATGTTGTTACAGAAATATCAATTTCATTACCCACACAGTACACTTATGACCTCTAAACACACTAGAGCTCAATATGGCAAAGACTTTAGTTATAAAAGTATAGTTTGTGCAAATTAGAAGTAAATGGAGTTTGGACACTCAGTTGAAGAGTGGGAAGATATTTACCAAATTTCCACCCCCTCAAAATATTGGAGGAAGACAGTATGTATAGTACAGCTTAGAGACTTAATCTCGAAATTTTACAAGAAAACATAAAACAAGTAGGTAGCACTATTGTTGTCAAAAATACTGAGTAACACGAACATGAAGCTTTGTAAGGTTGCATCCTAAACACTTGTATTTTAAAAAAAAAATTAGTTCCAAATTGAAAAGTAAACCAGTTTCCTCTCAATAATTTTGCTTTCTCTCGGAACAAGGAAGACAAAATATCGTGGATGCTTTGAAGTTCTTTATAGCAGGATAGTTGCAGCTACATATTGAGAATTCATCTGAACCGTATGCAGAGGTTGTTGACATTTTGCTTCAATTCTTTAATTTTAGGAAAGAATTTTCAATTAAAAACTTCCTGCTCAGTAGTTACACCTATAAGCTAAAAATTAATATTTCACATCAATATTTTAATATTAGTATCAATCAATCAAATTAATCTTTGTCTCTCTGTTTTCAGTAGCTGACTTTGGGGCAGGTTTGTGTTTGTTTTCCTCAAGATTGCTTACAACTTGATGTAAATTTTAAGCATCTTGTAATTCATCAACTAATTCTCTCCTGGTTACACACTCCAAGTAATTAAAGTTCAGTAATAACTTATTCTTTCTGCTCCAGCACCTGCATTTCATTTGTTTATTTTCCCAGAGTCATAAATCTGAGGGACTGTCAAAGTGCCATAATATTAGTGTAATAATCAAAGTTAATTAGTCCCTCTCAATAAACAACAACAAAGCCATTACAAAGATGCATTGAAGGTTTACCAGCTACCCAGTTTACAGATGAGATTCTTTTCTGAACAATTAGAATTTGAAAAGTGTCAGTAAATAAATGTAGTGTTTCTGAAGTAATTTGACCTTCAGTGATCTTTATTCAATTAACAACTCATTAACTTTTGGTGAGATAACACAGTTATTAGGACAAGTACTCCTGAACTCCCATTGCCTTCAATGGGATGCTTAGAACTAAGGGGGTAATGCAATATTTTTGAAATAAAAGGTACTCAGTCCCGCCTTATTTTAGTTAGACACAAAACACATATGGCCCTATTTAGCTGGACTGGGACTACTAAAACAGAATACCACCAAATCCAGTTCTATTGAAAGAGAACGGACAGATGAACTTCAAGCAACACAAGCTATGCTTTCCTCTCTTGGAATTCCACACTACTGAAATACAAAAAAAAAAAACACAAAAACACCACAAAAACAAAAAGAGAGCTTTAATGTGAAAGTATTGAAGGGGAAAGGAAGATGGTTTTTCCCTCCCAATCCTTTACAGTAAATCATTAATATCATCTGAGCAAGAGAAAGAGGCCTAAAATCCAAAGTCTTTCTTGAAGCAGCTTATGGTTACAAAAATTAGCAATATTGTAAACATCACTTATTTGCAAGTACTTACCTGTAAATAAGCACTGTTTGTTTTGCAATAATAAATATTATAATTATCTGTAGACTACTTCTAGTTTAAATACTAATACTACTGAATGCTCTACCATATCATCTGGGAGCAGCTGAAATATTTTCAGAGCTTGGGAAATAAAGCTAAAACACTCACCACTGATTTTAGCAGGAAAGAAAAAATTCCAAGAATCTGATCCTGTGGTTTATTATTAAAGTAAAATGCATAGGACTGTGTCAACAGTCAGCAGTCATAGCAAGCTCAGAAGTAGCCTGCAATCCTTACTAGCAAGTAAATGATTGTGGTAGGAATAAATTAAGAACACTGAATAAATTTTAGTAAGAGCCTTAAAAGCAAAAAAAACACAGAGGGTGGAAGTTAGGAGTCAAAGAGAAACAAGGGAACAGACAGTACCAAAGAGCTTGTATTTGCATGACAAAAAAAAAAATAAAGAGGGAAGAAATGGGAAGCAGAAAAAAACATTCAGACAGACTGCCTGGCAGCAGTGCTGTTGGACTTGATGGACAAGGAAAGAAAAGGAGGGAAACATTCTTGGGTTTGAAAAGTGTGAGAATCATAGAATGATTTGGGTTGGAAAGGATCTTAAAGATCATCTAGTTCCAATGTCCCTGCCATGAGCAGGGACACCTTTCACTACACCAGGTTGCTCAAAGCCTCATCCAACCTGCCCTTGAACACTTCCAGGGATGGGGCATCCACAGCTTCTCTGGGCAACCTGTTCCAGTACCTCGGCACCCTCAAAGGGAAGAATTTCCTCGTTAGATCTCATCGAAATCTACCCTCTTTCAGTTTAAAGCCATTGCTCCTGTCTTATCACTACATGCCCTTGGAAAAAGTCCCTCTCCAGCTTTCCTCTAGGCCCCCTTTAAGTACTGGAAGGCTGCTATAAGATCACCCCGGAGCCTTCTCTTCTCCAGGCTGAACAGTCCCAACTCTCTCAGCCTATCTTCATAGGAGGAGTGCTCCAGCCCTCTGATCATCTTCGTGGCCCTCCTCTGGACTCGTTCCAGTAGCTCCATGTCCTTCTTGTGTTGGAGACTCCAGAGCTGAACGCAGTATTCCAGGTGGGGTCTCACAAGAGCTGAGTAGAGGGGCAGAATCACTTCCCTCAACCTGCTGGCCACGCTCCTTTTGATACAGCCCAGGACACGGTTGGCTTTCTGGGCTGCCAGCGCACATTGCCGGCTCATGTTGAGCTTCTCATCCACCAGCACTCCCAAGTCCTTTTCCTCAGGGCTGCTCTCAATCCATTCTCCACCCAGCCTGTACTTGTGCATGGGATTGCCCCGACCCATGTGCAGGACCTTGCACTTGGCCTTGTTGAACTTCATTAGGTTCCCACAGGCCCATCTCTAAAGCCTGGCCAGGTCCCTCTGGATGGCATCCCTTCCCTCCAGCATGTCAACCACACCACACAGTTTGGTGTCATCAGGAAACTTACTGAGGGTGCACCTGATCCCACTGTCCATGTCACTGACAAAGACGTTAAACAGCACCGGTGCCAGTACTGACCCCTGAGAAACACCATTCATCACTGGTCTCCACTTGGAGATCAAGCCATTGACTACACTCTGTCAAACGATCCTCTGATCTCTTACAGTCTAAAAACTATGGGCAAAATAGCGGCCATCTGTAAGATCTGAGTGTGTACATTCGCCTTCAAGGCTTAGTTAGAAGTTAGAACACTTCGGTTCTGGAAGTGTCCTGTCCTATGAAGTAAGAAACATGTCTCTCTTTTTCAAATATTTTTGCCCTTACAAAGCATCTGTAAGACAGATAACAGCACGTCAAGCCTCGCAGTCCAAGAGGGTCACATGAAAAGGAAAAGTCTCTATCACTGATACACCAGTGACTGAACAGGATGTTACAAAATAAGACAAATACCTTCTTCCTTAGATTCTTGTGTGGCAATGTAATAGCTATTTAACTGCTTGTACTGCACAAAGGACTTCATGCCTTGAAAGACACAGCTTAGTGCTGGACACTACATACATTCACTTACCCATTCCAGAAGAATGCGCTGTACAGCGTCAGTGCCTCTTGACGTATTTCTGCAGGCCAGGATAACATACGCCCCATGCAGTGCAAGAGACTTCGCAGTTTCAAAACCTATGATAAAACATTTTCCTAGTCAGAAAAAGATCTCAGTAACAAAACAGAGCTATAAAATTACCTGAAAAGGGTACACTAACGCTACCCGCAGTCTGACTACCTGTTTGATAAGTCACCTGGACTCAGCTTTTAAGAGCACATATGAAAACAGTTAGACAGCTCACCTTGAGCAGGTCTTTGGGACAATCATTGTATACAGTTTATGCAAAAAAGACTTAGGATATTCAAAAAGCAGACTCAATTTCTCTTCCTGGGTGTCTTCAGCTCTTAGAAGAGCAGGATTATACTTGCTCCTTACTTGTTTGACTGCAAGGAATCCACCATAGGGCTAGACTGTAGAGCTATTATGCCTGGCAACATCACAATGAAAGTATTACAAGAGTAATACATTCAATATATATATTACAAGAGTATTGTAAAACTGAGCTCTGGGCTCTTTAGATGCCCAGTTAGCCTTTGATTCATCAATCTGAGGACCACGTATGGCACAGGGATCATCCAATGGGATGTGTGAGGGAATAAGAATCAAAATCACGTGGAGATAACTACTCCTTTCTCCAACCCGAATACCACCCCATCTGTACAACACTGCTGCACGAAACCAGGAACCAGAGAACTACCCAAGTGCTAAACCGTTCATGGCAGGGGGTTGTCAAAACAAGATTCTGCCTAAGGAGATCTGCAATCTACATGTGTGTTTTATTATCCATGTACTTTAAAACTTTCGCTAAAATTTTCCTTGAATTATCTGTGTAATAACAACTCTGTTTTTGTCCCATCATCAACTGAAATACAGAAATCAATTTTTCACAATTGTTCTCATTATCAATAACCAATCAAATACCATGCAGCTTCAATATATTGGTTACAGTATCATGGGGCTGAACAAGTCACTAGATGAACCAGATGATACAAAGAAAAAACAGTTAATTAAAAATTCCCTCTTTTGCATAACTCACTGATGTGACTTAATCTGCAAGAACATTCTTTCTAAACCTGAAACAAGTGGACAGGCGGTTCACACTTTGCTGCAATTAAAGCGCAGCATGAATCTCTATCCTCAGGTTTTCTTCTTTCATCCATAGAACAAAGTTTCACAGTGAATTTCTAAATGACTGTACACAATCTTTTTTTGCAATAGTGTTAATCACTTCTTTCCCATTCTGTATTCGGGCTTTTTGTTTCTCCTTTCTAAAAGGAGACTTCAGATTTCAGATTAATTTCAGTTTGTTAATTCAGGACTGTATTGCAATTTAGTGAGATCAGTTCAAATTATGAAACTGTTCACCAAGAGCTGCAACTCTCCCTCTTTCCACCTTGACATCTGCAAGCTTTGTAAGCACACTTTGTTTCACTGTTCAATTCATTAATGAAAACCTGCACAGAAGTTTTTAAACAAAAAAACATCAGTGACAATTTACACCAGGAGAATATGAGTTCTTGGAAGTGCAGGATGCCCATGAAGTGCAGAGAACTCAGCCAAAAATTGGGTTTCTATCAGGTGTGAGCTACTACATATTTGTGATGTATTCAACAGGATCACCGGGTGCCCATCTCCATGGAGAACTGTAACAACAACAGAAATTTCCATCTAGCTGAGAGGCATAACGCAGCTTAATGAGTTCCAATTAGACAAGCTTAAACTAGAAAATGAAGAATCAAACTGAAATGCCCAGCAATTTGAGTACGTGAAGAAGTCAAACAGAAAAGGTATTTGTTTTAGCTTTACGACATTTAAAGCATGTTCATGTTTTCCTTCTAAAAATTGTTTACCAAAAAACCTATTAAGATGGGCTGTTTCACTTCCACAACACCCCCGAGCAACAAAATTCAGTTACAGCACAAGACATAACTTACATTATAAAAACAACAGACACCAAGACGAATTTGTACCATTTTCTGCAATTACATATTTACAGTATTTAAGTCCAAGCAATTTTCTTGTATCTCTTTCAAAGCCGTTCATTGTACCAAAGTAACTTTAATTACCTGCATAATTCATTGCATGCACATGAATTCAGCGACAGCATATGCAAAGATTTCCCCTGCTCGTAATTCCAGTTTAAGCGTATTTAACTAGAATTTGTCATGTAACCAATGTAAGACATGTTGTACCAGAGTACTATTAGCTAGCTGTATACTTCTTGCTTTGCACAAAAAAACACACTTATTTTGACCAGCTTAGCACAATATTAAAAAATAGTTGGAATGCCTGGGAATACAGTTTTTCTACTGTTTTACAAAGATCTAGAGATGATGGACAGTTTAATTAGCTAAGCATGATGATGTTTTGCTAACACTACTCCATACCACACTGTGCAAAATAATAAATATCATGCCATTTGCTGTTACAGTTAATAACTTGATTCTCATTATAAACCAACCTGAGAAAGATTAAAATTTAACCAAGTTATATGCTGCAAGTTCAGTTAATTGTAATACCACCTTGATTTTTCCCAGCAAACTTGGAGATGAGTGCCAAACATTCCTCTTTACTCGCTCTCTTCTGGGCTACCAAAGGATGATTCTTCACCCTTAGGCAGACATGTTCTGAATCTTTCCGTGAAATTATGTGCTTAAAAAAACCTCTTTTCGGAATTTTTAAGCAGCAGTCCAGCCTTCTATTCAAAATACTGCCACAGGTCAAGTGCTGATGTCTCTCTCTATCAGACATATTTTAAACTACTAACTCATTCATGAACACTCTTGCACTGTATTTAGGACAGCTAGATGCATGCCAAAGGAGAAAAACAAATCCAGGTACCCCAAACCACTTAAAGGTTCCAACTCAACTCCTGAATTACTGGCTATAACGTCGGGATTGTATGTAACTATCACTACTTGGTCTTTCTATCACTTTGTGTGCAGCGTAATTGTTAAGGCATCTTCTCAGACCATCTACCAAACAAAATGTATCAAGAAGAGGTAACACGATGTCTACTTCACAGAACTCACTGGGGTTTAAGTATGATCTACCTATCAACTTGCTCACTCTCCGGACTGCAGCATTTTTAGATACATCCTCAAAATAAACCTTCATAGACCTGAAAAATCCTCATTAAGCAGTACAATTAAGAATCACTACAGTTTAAGAAACGACTCTGCAGGAGTTTAGAAGCATGCAATTTCTGACCGAAACACCTGAAGCAGGAGTTTGGAAGCACTTCTGTATTCAAGTCCTTTTAATTTTTTAACAAAAAGCTAAAACCGTAAATCAAAATCTGCATCGAATGTGGTTACATACACCAAAGTTAAACCATAAACATCATAAATGCCCACAGTAAAACCTCAAAACAAAAAAGAAATCACAGTAGGGTTAAAAAGAAAGAGAAATATAGATAACTTATGGACATGCATAAGTAAGGAACTAGAAGAACCTTAATTCTATCCACAAATGCAACTCTGTGGACTTGAAAAGAACCAAACTTTCACAACACAGCCCTTTCACAACGTAGGAACGTTAACGGCAATGATACTGGTTATCTTTTCCAGGAAACAAATCATATCCTCCGCGTGGTGAATCTTCCCTGTACCACAGTGCTGAGGCACTGCTGCTGCAGAGCTATGTGACCCAGGTAAAAGAGATAGCAGAGCCTACTGCCAACAAGAACTATTGCCTTTCACATTCTGCCCAGCTGCAACAGCTGGCAAAGGGAGTACATGGCTGAAGGAAACCATGCCCAGCCTCAACGTGTTACTGTTCTGTGCTTCAGTTTTCAGATTTCTAAGTAGGCAGCTCAAAAAAGCTACAAAACTTGAATATCTTCCTATAGAAAAATCACACGTTGTATACTAGTTGTGTTTTTTAACAAAAAGTAGAAACAACCACATTAGAAAAACAGCATAGGGGAATATACTTGAGCACAAAGGTCAGCCAGTTACAAAGAATAAGATAGATACTTCCCCCAAATGTGACAGAACAACATGCTTAAATAATGTACACTTTGGAAAAGCAATCACAGCATATTTAAATACTCAATAGAACACAATGTTGAGCAAGTATTTTATAAAACTAAGCTAAATTTCAAGCAGTTGCCCTGGAAATCTCAAGAGATGAGTGTCCTGAGCCCGACTACTCATGCTGCTGTTGCTTTAGCTGAACGAGCTCTAATCTGACACTCAGAAGTGACAATCCTGTTTAAGAATAAGACATACATGAGGATAAACATTATGGCACAGCTCTCCACATCAGCAGCTAACCTAGAAGACTGGGAGCAAACTAACAAGAGAGCTACAAGCGCATGGGATTTGTTACAGGCATTTAAAGCCCTTCAGCCCCTTACTTACAGCATGCTTTTCACAGACTCAGCACTCAGATCTCATTCTTCATCTTCTGTGATGATTGCTCAGTTCAATACTCTCACTTTCTTGTCTATCTGCAGTCGGCTACTATCAGTGAATTTTGGGACAGATTTTCAGCTAACAGTCTCAATTAACGAGCAGTTCGCATCGCTCAATTAATGCCAACTACATTGTGTCAACATACACCAGATGAGTATAAGGCTCTGTGAAACGGTGCAACCTCCTCTATAAAACAAAGGGATTCACAGACTGGAAAAGTAACTCAGTGATTTCTTGTTTAAATGAAGTTGAAAGCATATAAACCGTTTACCATTGCAAGACATTTTGTAAAGAATTTGCATCAGGCATTTACATGTTTTAAAACATTCCTTTATTACAAATACAATCAAGTTTGAATACACAACATGAAATTCAAAAACATTTCAGGTAACGTCGAGATTTCTCCAGCTTCCCTACCTTCTCCCAAACGCTCCGGGATACGTTGGTTCTGTCATTTACAACACATTTCAGAAGCAGTGATGCTATCTTTCTTTGCAACAGCTTAGTCCTCAATTTAATAGACTAAAGGCTTTGCTTGCATTGAGTTTCTTCAAAATCATTTCTCCCTTTCTCTCCACTGACAGAAGAGCTCTGGAGGACCAGAGATTCTAAAACATCTTCAGCTTCACATGTGCTTAAGTAATGATTTAAAGTGG